TAAAATATTTTGGAACAACAGTAATAAATCAAAATTTGATCCAGGAGGAAATTAAAATGAGATTGAATTTGGGTAATGCTTGCTACCATTCAGTCCAGAACCTTTTGTCTTCTCAACTGCTGTCCAAAAACAAAAATTAGAATATACAAACCTATAATTTTGCCTATGGTTCTGTATGGGTGTGAAACTTGGTCCCTTACATTGAGAGAGGAACATAGACTGAGGGTGTTTGAGAACAGGGTGTTGAGGAGAGCATTTCGACCGAAGAGGGATGAAGTGACAGGAGGTTGGAGAAAACTACATAATGAGGAGCTTCATAACTTGTACTCTTCTCCAAGTATAATTAGAATGATCAAGTCAAGGAGGATGAGGTGGGAGGTCATGTAGCACGAATGGGGGGGACGAGGATTTCGTATAGGATACTAGTGGGAAATCCAGAAGGAAAGAGACCACTGGTAAGACCAAGGCGTAGGTGGGTGGACAATATTTAAATGGATCTTGGAGATATAGTTTGGGATGTTATGGACTGGACTGATCTGGCTCGGAGTAGGGAGCAGTGGAGGGCTCTTTTGAACACGGTAATGAACCTTACATTGTAGCATGTAGATCCGTTGCCAAGTAATGACTCTGTAAACAACACCGTTGATGGGCAACAGATTCCTAACACTCACCAATGGACAAACTGGGAAGCGATATTCTCTACTCAGTCCGTACGACAGCTGCATGATGCAACAACAGAAGAACTGTTAGGAAAGGCTTTTTCTGTGCGGTCCGTGCCGACGTGTTATATGCAGAACAAGCCTAGTATTTAGTTAGTTATGAGACAGTCGCTAGCCGGTAAGAATATGAGTACGGAAGCAGAGGATATTGTTGGAATTCGTCACCAGGCAACGACTGGTGAGGATTCAGCAGACTGAGAAGACTTATAACGTGCTCTAGTGAACTGAGAGTGTGTGAATTGGTGATAGTGCTGTAGTTACTTGTAGTTACGTGTTGTGTGTATAAGTGTTCCATTTATCCAATTACCAACCCAAACCCCGATCTTTGTGTTACCGGAATCACTAATACAATTATTGTTATATACATTATCTTGTTTTCCACTTTGTGTACATGTTTTTTCTTCTCTACTTTTGCTGACTTTGTAATGGGCCTTTGAGCTGTTAAATTTGCACATGCATAAATAAGTATTGAATTGAATTATTGTTTTTGTCGTCTTTATTGTTGTTATTGTTATTGCTGTCCGTTAATATTATAAAAGCTGAGAAATAGGGTCGCCTTTAACATTTCAGTTCCTAACGGTCAACAATCAACAATCCTTTATGCCAGCGTGAACACGTGTTGCGAATTAGTTGTGTAACAGAGCACGAACGAGGGAGCGGTTTTTGTTTCAGTGTGCTGTGTCTATTTTGTGTGTTAATAAGAATTGTATGTGACAAATGAATTGTAGTATGCTATGTAAAGAAGCTGGCTTACGATTGGCTATTTGTGCGTGTTATTCGTGGGAAATGGCATTAAAATTTGGCCTCCACTTATTACATTTAGTACTGGAAAGAATACGATAGGAAGGTGAGGAAGTTAGTAGTTCAAACGCCTTTACAACAAGTGATGCGGCTTCGTCATTTATTTAAACGGGTGTGACTGAAGTAGACATCAGATATCCTCTTAAGAGGAAACATCACTGCCGAAATTACATAGATATTTGAGTAATATTCTCACGCAGTATGGAGCGAATGTAGGCGAGGTTTTGGATCACTGGATTTATTGACCACTTACAGGTCTTAACTACTCCACATTTTACAAATCACTATAGCACATGCTAAGTCTTCTCCAGCCTGCAGTGTCTTCGCTAGACCTTTCCTGGTAACGGTCTCTAACAATGGCTATTCCTCTACTTCCGTATCAAGTCTTCTCTGAACAGTGGCTCCTTTCCAACTGAACTACTCTTGCTTCAAATGTCCTTCTTATAATCCCTTTGCACGGATCGAGTAGAAAAAGCCCTTTCGAACAATATCTCTATTGTTGTAAGATTTGATGCTTTCACGGCGGTGACTATGAAGAAAGCAGTCTTCTGGGATTTGGCCAAATCCCACGGTGCCAAATCCCAGAACACTGCTTTCTTCATCTCTATTGTTACATGCGTAACCGTTGCCGCGGGATCATGTTTACCTAGCCGTTGTCTAGAAACGGCTCTGCACGCTACAATATTATTTTTGCATCTCTCAGTGTCTGCTAAAATATATGGCATAGTATATTCCGGTAAATAGCAGTGTTATTTAAGAAATAATTATAGTAATGTATGCCTGCAGGCCTTGAATTAAACCTGTTTCTTGAGATTTATGTGCTTCTTGTCTATATTTATTAGTAAATGCCTTCCAGGCATTTTGTGATTCATTACCACCGTTTATCTCCACAGAAGGGAGTCCATCTCTGGTAAATAAAAGTCGAAGAAAATTAAATAGAATTCAAAGGAGTCCCCACTGGTAGCATCCCTAAGCCTAAATAATCCAATTATCACTCTTATATCTTGTTTCTGTAGGACGCATCGTACTTATTTCGTCTAGTTTGCTTTTATTCCTAGAGGTCAGTCTGCTTCCGGTTTTCCAGCCAAAATCATTTCATACTTGTCATTTCCGTCGTGCATGCTACGTGCCCTGCCAAACTAATCTTTCAACTGATCAGTCCGGTAACATTTGACGATATGGCGGTCCTCGTTAAGTTGCTTTCTGCAGCCGAGACCCAGCACTCTGCCCTCAAGTGTCCTCAGCTCGCGTTCTTCCCTCGGCACAAGAGACGAAGTTCTTTATACCGTAATCAGTCGGACGGGCACCGGAAGGATCTTGAGGCTATAAACAAGTCCTCACTTTCCGAAGGTTTCTGTAGCGCGAGTGACAGAAGCTTCCGCACGGAAGGAGAAGTGGAACTCGGTAACTTCTCGAAAGCAGTTTATCTTAAATGTGGGCTGCCCTGCACGTTCAGTTCACTCTTGTCTGTCAACATGTTCTTCTGCATTCCAGTCTTTCTTTATTCCTGTTGCTGCAGCATTCATCATTTCTCTCTCTCTCTCCGTCTCTTCGCCCTGATATCTATTTGCACATTCGTCACGGTCACGTCTCCACTTCTTTCTCATATAACTTTCCTTTACGTTTATATTCTGTCGTCCATTTCGTTTTCGTTTTATTCGACAGGTCCTGTTGTGAACGCTCCAGCTGTCCC